GTTGTCCGGGGGTTGGACAGCAGTCTGGGCAGGAGGTGTGTAGCCATCGATGACTTGCAAGCCCGTCGCTTGAACTTGTGTTCCTCCACCACCTCCGAGAGCGGCACCCTGAAGGTAAAGCGGAATAAGTAGACATGTCAGCTTAAAAGCGAAGCGCGACTGCACCGTCGCGTACTCATGAGGCTGACGGGACCCACATCGCAAGCCAGACATCGTGACACGATCGACGACATTGTGCACCGACGGCGAAGCGTGGTGAGCAATTCGATCGGGGCTGTGCTACAGCGAGAGGAGAAGACTTGACAGTCTCTCCACTTTGCAGACTCGGAGACGAGTCCCTTGAGGTGTTTCGTCGATGAAATGTCGCAATGCGAATGCACATGCGGGGAAAGAGCAGAGATCCAATCCCTCTTTACATCCGACAACGCAGCAGCCGCGCGGAGGCATGCCTGCGAGTCCGATGATTAGGACGCAGGAGAGAGGCAAGCAGGCTGATCGCAGATGCGACGATCACGCCTGATGGGAGAATTGCTCCCGGGATACTGAGCCGCAAATGCGGTCGCAAAGATGTCAAGACGCTATGTGCGCTCAACATCCCGCTGCTGACAAGAACGAGCGGTGTGGAAGGGGTGATGTGGCGCGAAAACGACGAGGCCAAATGGCAAAGGCTTAGGACAGTGGCAGCAGATCCTAGCATCACAAACAGCACCAACGAAACCTTTCAAAGAAGCGAAACAATCTCGAGCGACTCGTACCTGTTGTCTTTTCTGCAACTCGCCGGTCGCTTCCTCCTCGTCGTTCACATCGCGGGCTCCCAGCAAGTGCTTGAGCTCGTAGGCATCGTGGACAATCTTGCCAACGCTCCAGCCGGTGGCTTCCTCGCCGTCGTTGTGGGGAGCATCACTTACGCCAGGTTGCCTGGTCGTCGTTGCAGCGGCGGGGGCGGGGGTTGTGGTGACTGGTGCGACAATGGGAGTGGTGGGGGTCAAGGCAGCAGCGCTAGTTGTGGTCAATGCCCCAGCGCCTCCGGCGACTGGTGAACTGGTGATCAAGGCGCTGTAAGGACAAGGCGAGCACAGATTCAGCGTTGCGATTTCAGTCGAAGGTGTCGTCACAGATGTTGAGCGGCACCTGACTGGTCGACATCGTCCAACACGTGCGAACATGGGCTGCTGTGGCGAGCACGAAGGTGTGGATCGGACACGTGGAAGTGTCGAACCATCGACACGTCGTGCTTGCGGGGCTAGCATTACCAAAATGCTGTCCTTCTAAGACAGCCTGCCTGATGTGACCGACAGGTGGGGGCATGTCGGAGCATCGGAATTTAGCTCCCACAACACTCACTCGCTTGTATATTGACCGTCTACTTCGACAGCAGTGTATTGATAGACCCTATTGGGGAGAGAAGACGATGCATCAGTCAGCCTCCTCGCGGTGCCCAAGTCAACGCGACGACTCCTCGCTGCTTTCCTCACCGCAAGCAGTAAGGATGTCTGTCCAGCTGCTGTACCTCCCTCACGATACTTGAGAGAATGCCACCCAGCGCTTTTCATCTCATCATCTCATTGAGCAACCTCGAGCACTCACCAAGTCGCATCCGTGACCGTATATGTGACCGGAGTTTGTCCAGCAACGCTAGCCACCCCAAGGGCGGCGATGGAAGCCGCGACTGCAAAGCGCATCTTCGTTAGGGTGCAGAAAGTGGTATGTCGATAGAATGGGCTCGATGCTCCCGAAGAAAGGCGCTGAAAGGTGAATCCAGATCTGGCTGTTGGTTGGGGGCGTTCCTCGCTGGCGCAGTCAGGCGATTCGCTGGAGTTCGCCTCGGAGCCGATTGATGACGAGCTCGGGAAGATAGGGCTGATTGATGGTTGCGATGTAGCAAGCGTATTGGCAGCGTCCAGTGCGATTTGATGTGGTCAAATGTCAAGAATGATGTGCGAGGAGAAT